GCAAGACCCCTGGTACAGATGATCCCCCCTCCAGCGACCACCCCTGATGGGCCCGAAGCACTGCAAGAAGGAAAAGTTCCCTTGTCGTGATCAGTCCTTCTCCCCAGGGCGGCAATGAGTGGTGAGTCCTTGTGCAGCCCCTGAGATCATCCACTGCAGCAGCAAGAGACCCCCCTTCATGGTCCCACAGGCATCGTGCTGCTCAGATCTTCGAGGACTCCACCCGTTCAATCCATGGCGAGTCAGCCCCGACATCCCTGGGCTCCGAGCGCAGCTGCCGCAGCTCCCGCTCCAACACCTGGCTCCGGTGGTACATCTCCATGTAGCTGGCCTGAAGCTCCCGCTGGTACCGCAGCACCTTCTCCTTCTCCTCCTGCCAGGTTTTCCTCTCCAGCTCAAAGTTCACAGCCTGCAGCTGGCCCTGGCGCCGCTCCCGTAACAATTCTGCCCATAACCACTCCACCTGCCGCTCCAGGGGCTCCGCTGAGTCGCTGTGGAGGCCCCGGCACTTGGAGTCATCCGTTTCACAGCCAGGGAAGTCCTGGCATGCCGGCATGGGGTCATCGCCCAGTGGCAGCGAGGTGCCAGGCTCCGCGGGGCTCTGGAGGGAATCAGCCAGTTGTGCCAGCTGGGAGTCCCTGGCCTGCACCTCCGCCTTGGCCTCCCGCAGCTGCGTCTTCAGGCTGAAGATCTCACCCAGCTTCTGAGCCATCTCCTCCTGGGTATCCCGGAGCTGCTGCTTCAGCAGGGAGATTTCTGCTGCCTTCTGACATACCTGCAAGGCACAGGTGAACAGTGAGGAAGGAGCAGGATCTCAGGGGTGGCAGCACCCCCGACTGTCAACACAGCATCACTGGGAGACCATGAGAATGACCCCTGGTTCTTCCCCCCATCTTCTGTCCACAAGTGATAGAGCAGAGAACCACTGCCCCATCCTGGCTGCATAGCCTGAAGGGTGGAAACAGAGAGGGACAGAAGGGGACTCACCTCCCACTTGGTCTCCTCCAGTTTGGGACTGACACGCTCACCCTGGGACTGCCGGAGCTTGGTCTCCTCGCACTGGCACTGCTGCATGCTCAGCTCCTCCTGCAGCCGCTTCTTCTCTTGCTGTGCCTTGTAGAGCTGCAGCTGCAGCGCCCGCTGGCCACGCTGTGCCTGCTGTGTGACCTGCTGCAGCCTGGCCATGTACATCTGCTTCAGGTCCTCCAGCTCGTCCAGCCACAGCCGCTGCTTGTCCTCAAATGCCTGCCAGCACAGAGAGACACTGGTGAGGGTCTACATCCTGCCCCTGTGTGGGACAGTGCCTGGAAGGATCCCAGGAGGTCCTACTGCCAGGACATTCCCAGCTAGACCCAAGGAACAGAGCTTCTGTAGCAGGTTCCCAGCCTGATTTTGCAGATGCTCCCACCCCACAGGCCGTGACACTGGGATCTCCCATGTTTGGGAGCTCACCAGCCATCATGGCAGGACACCAGGTCCTTCACAGCTCCTTCCACTCAGTCACCACCTCCCCACAGCCACCAGCCCCACTTCACACCTGCGCAAAGGGGTCCTCGGTCTCACTGAGGCTCCTCTTGAGCTGCCGCAGCTCTCCCCCAGTCTCCTTCAGCCGGTCCTCCAGCTGCTTCACCGCATCTTCCAGGGAGTAGGTGAACTCATAGGGTGGTGGGGGCTCCCCAGGGCTCTGCAGCCGGCTCAGCGTGGCCATGCTCTTGCAGGACAGGGGTGCCTTTTCAGGAGCCAGGGGGTCCCTGGGGCTCCGGGACACCCTGTCCAGGGAACCCCCGATGTGGTTGATGTGGCCCATGGAGGCACTGAACTGGCTCTGGGCAGGCTTGAGGCGAGAGCCATAGGAGGGGAAGCTCTGGATGGAGTTGTGGCTGGAGTCAGAGGCTTCATCCAGGCTGATGGCATGGAGCAGGTGGGTGCGGAGCGGGCCATGCTGTGGGGCCGCCGTGGTGCTCTGCGACAGCAGCGTGTGCAGGCTCCCATTGCTCTTGGACAGCTTCTGCCCCTTGGATGAGGAGAGGCCTTGCATGGAGACCAGCCCCTTCCCAGTCACTGCCTTGAAGGCTGAGGGCCTGATGCGGCACTGGAAAATGCAAGCAAGATCAGGCTGGGCCCCACCAGCACACACCATGCCCAGCTCCACTCAGAGAAAATGCACGCACACAGCCTCATCCCTTCACCCAGATATCCAAATCCCCATGTCCCACCTCCCATTCTGGGCACATTCAGCTCATCCCCTAGTCCCATCCACCCCAGAGCAGGACACGCTTTAGGGACAAATCTCATATTTCACCTTGTCGAAGCGGCCCCTCTCAGGCAGCGAGCTTTTGGAGAAGTCAGCTCCACGGTGATGCTCCCGGGAGCAGCGCTCAGGGGATCGGTTCTCGCGGTCGCTCTCGTAGTCCCGCTTGTAGCACGCTCCTGATGCCTGGTGCTTCCGTTCCGACCGTGTCTCCTTTTTGGCTCCGTGCAGGTATCCAAAGAGCTCCCGCTGGCTCGGCCCCTTCCGCAGCAAGCCGTCAGGCTGCCGAAGCCCCCGTGTGCCCCCCAGCGGGGCCCGCAGCTCCAGGGGGGACAGGTCCTGCTTCTCCACCAGGCTGCCCACGCTGCCCATGCTGCCAACGGGCACAGAGGAGAGGTAGGTGCCGAGGACGCGGGTGTCGGGCTCACAGCTCACAGGGCCTTGTGCTGCTGCCATGGAGAATCAGAGAAAAGCCCGGTACCAGCACTGCCAAAGGAGAGACAAAGTCAGCACGGTGGCGTAAACGTGACTGCAGGCCCATCAGGGATACCCGGCTTGCAGCAGGGGCGTGGAGATGCCCATTCAGCCCCACATCCTAGCACTCAAATGAGGGGTGGACCCCAAAGGGCCACGTTGGCAGCCAAGCAAGCAGGGCTCTATCGGGCATGGGGCAGCGCAGGGGTGGGGGCTCCCCGCTGCCACCCCCCATGGCTCAGCGCCTCCCTCCCACACCCAGCCCCACCTCCCGCCCGCGGCCGGGGCTGCCACCAGAACAGGCACCTGCCGCCCAGCCTGTTCGGGAGGGCGAGTTCAGCAGCCGGCAGCACCTGCCTGGGCCTGGCGCCAGCCTCGGCCCGGCGGCACCCAGCCGCCCCTTCCCGGGAACCCCTACATGGCGCCGGAATTCCCCCTCCCCGTACCCTTGGCTTCCAAGGACCAGCACTGGCCTTTGGGCTGCCCGAGAGCCCCGGTCCATCCCTTCTCAAGGGCTGGAGGAGGACGCTGCTACAAATGACCCTGGGGAGGTCCCAGCCTTTTGGCTCAACCTCTCCCTGGGACGTGCGCATCAGCCCGCAGCCCAGCACAGCCGGACGTGGGACGGGAAGGGGAAGGATGCAGATGGGACAATGCAGGCTTCCTGCACAGGTGGCCGGACCCTGGGGGAGGAAGGCGGGCAGCAAGGCTTCAGCCTCAGTGCCTCATCCTCGGGCAGCGGGGAGGGCCTGGTGGGGATCTTCAGGCCCCCGACCAACAAATTACAGCCCGAGGGGGAACCTCGGTCCTGGAATGAGGGCCGGGGGGCTCGAGGCTCCCCACCAGGCCCCGTCTGTCGGGCCTCACCCAGGAAGCTGCCCTGGTTCTCAGCACACACGCCGGGTAAACAAACACCCCGCTTTTAATTGCTGCCACGCACAAACCTGTCTGACAGCTCCCGGCCTGCGCTGTCACCTCCCTCCCTCGGCTCAGCACCTGCTCCGGGCACCGCGGGCGCGGAGAGAGGGGGAAGCGGGCGGGGAGAGCCCGGGGGGGCGCGGGCCCCGGCCCGGAGCGCGGCACGGCCGAAGCCCCTTTCCGCGCCCCGGGCGCTCGACGGCGGCAGCGCCATCGGCCCCGGGAGAGGGGAGCGGAGCGCGGCGGAGCGCACGGGGCGATGCTCGGCGGATCCCGCGGGAATCCGGGGCCGCGCTCGGCCGAGGCGCGCCGCAGCCCGAGGACAAAGCGCCGCGGCCGCGCGGAGGGGCGGGGGGGCGGCACCGGGGCACCGTCCGGGGCTCTGGGGGGTCACCGGGGCGGGCACCGGCGGCGGGGCCGGGCCGCACTCACCATGCCGGCGGCGCTGCGGTCCACGCGCGGCTCCGCTCCTTCCCTCGCCGCGTTTGAACGCGCCCCTCGGCCGCGGCCGCGCGGGGAGCGGGCGGAGCCGGCAGCGGCAAATCGCGGCGCGGAGGCGGGAGGCGCCGGGGCGGGGCGGCTGCGGGGAGGGGCGGCGGAGCCTGGCGGCGCGGACGCGGTCCCCTGCGGCCTCCCCGGGAGCGCAGCTGCGAGGTTCGGCCCCGCGTGCCCGACCGCCGTCGAGGTGTCCGCGCGGCACCGCCGGGGCACGGAGCGTCCCTCGGCCTTCCGCCTGGGTGACCCGCAGCGCTGCGGCGTGCCGCATCCTCGGTGCCCGCCCTCCCACGGAGGGTTGGTGCTCGCGGCGTTCCCTGCCGAGGTTCGGGGCCGCCCACATCCGCCCTGCTCTCTGCCGGCTCCCCCCTCGCCGTGCGCTGCCAGCGCTCACGCACACGCCGTCCCGCACGCTCAGTGCGGTGCCGAGGCTCTCACCGCGTTCCCTGCGGCCACGCGTCACCCACGTGGCCTCCGAGGTGCGGGGCTGCGGCCCTGACCCCCCCGGGGTGCTGGGAGCGCAGCCAGGCACGGCTCCCGGGATGCGGGCAGCTCCGAGCAGGGTGTTCTCCTCCTGTAGAATGCGGTGGGGAACAGCCTCGGCCTTTCCCGCTGCGCCTTTGCTAAGAGCCCGGTGCGTGGGGAGAACGGCCCCGAGCGACCTCTGAAAGGCATTCAGGGCTATAAAAGGAAGCCGGGTCCCCAGCGAGGTGCCTCTGCCACAAAAGCAGCCGGCGGATGAGGGGGCTGCGAGCAGAGCTGCGAAATAATTGCCAGGCAGCAGGAGAGGAGCCTGCAGCGCTGAGCAAAGTACGAGCTGCACATATGCTCGCTGCTTTCTGCACGGCTCCGTGAAACTGTGCCAACAGCATGGAGAGATACTTTTATCTGTGCTTGGCGCCGGCACACAGCTGATGGACACCAGCCGATCCCAAAATCTGAGCGATGGAGAGGGACTGGGGCAGCTGCAGTGCCATGGGCCTTCCAAAGGTGACGATGGGCTGGCATCTTCTCCTTCCCTCAGCAAAGGACACAGTGGGGGCTGGGGATGCCTGCATGCACGCATTGGCAACAACCTGTGGGCTACATGCAGAACAAAAATGGCTGCGACTGGGTGTCAAGACTGAATTGCCAGGGTGGAGAGGCCTTCGAGGCTCTGGGATGGCACATCCCCTTCTGCCCCGGGGCAAGGACAGGCCTGGAGCTGGGGAGAAGCTCGCACTGCCTGCGCGTGGGATGATGCAAGGAGCAAGGGCTGGTCCTCATCACAGCTTTGACCCTTCCATGTAGGCAGCACACTGGTGTATGCAGCACCAACTCCTCTGCAGCAGCAGGTGATGGCAGGAGCCATCAGGATCTGCTCCCTGTGGTTCACAGTCCCTGCACTCAGTTCCAGCACTGTCACTTCCCTCTACCCAGGGCTCCTACCAAGAGCTGCGATGTCTCCATGAGACAGGAACCACTTGGCTTCCCAGGATGGCAACAGCTTCCATCTGCAGGCACCCAGCAAGGGAAGTGCTCCAGGAGGCAGAAGGACAAGGACAGAAAGGCCTGGGAAGCACAGCAGAATGAGTGCCAGCCCAGTGCAGTGCTTGGCTGGGGGTGTCTGTCTGCTCCAGGAGACAGCAGCACCCAAAACATGTGCCAGTGCCCCAAAGCGGCTCCACACATGGCAGCACCTGTGTGCCAGCACAGGCTTGGAGCAGCATGGCAGCAATTCACCTTGCAGCACAAGCAGAGGCCAGGCCAGGCTGCAGGAGGAACACAGAGCTAGCAGGGGGCAGAGGGACCTTCCTGGCATCCCCACTCCTGGATCCAAGCTGGAGTGCCCCAGGTGCCTTCCCAGCAGCCAGGCAGGGATGTTCCCCTCCACTCCCTACCTCCTACCCCAGGATACTCTCCCAGCAAACAGTAGCAGTGCATCTGCTGCCTCCCACGGGCTGCTCTTGCCTCTGTTCCCTATGGCTGCCTGCAGCAGGTCCCCGAGCCACTGCGAGCAGATGCCTTGATAGTTCTTTATTGTCCTCTGAACTGGGTGGCAGCTCAGCCATACCCAGCAAAGGAAAAGCGCCTCCTGCACCTGCCCTGGGAGACAGCAGCATCACTCACAGCAATGCCATGGAGTCCTGCTCTTGGCCTCTTCTGCTGATCCCAGCAAATTCAAGCACTCAGCCCTTTCTGTCCCTCTGGGTCCTGCCAGCAGCACCGTGCTGGCCTGCTGCAAAACTCTGCCTTGCTCCAAGCAGCTCGGCGCAGCCCTGGCGTCTTGACATGAGCACAGCACATGCTGGCACATGGGACACAGCTCAGCCAAACGTGCACCACGGTGTCTCACTCATGTCGCAGTCCAACAAGATGTTAAGGACAGTGCAGGGGGCTCCTGCCACAGTCAGAGCAGTCCGTGACTCAATCCGGTATCTCACGTTGTTCAGACCTCCCTCCCGATCCACCTTAAACTGCTCCTGAGGAGAAGAAAGAACATTCAAGGCAAAGCATCTGGTGCTGAGACAGAGAGCAGAGTGGGCAAGGAAGGGCTTGGAGCATGTGGCAATCACAGCCCGCATCTCTCACAGCTCACCTGCTTCTGTGCAGCAATGCGCTTCTGGTCTCTTTTCCTCCAGGCTGGATCATGAAGGTGCTGGAATGTCTCATAACCAGTTGTGATTCCAGAGGGACGGTGAACCTGGGAGGAGAAAAACGCTTCCATACAGCTCCTGAAAGCCTGCCCACATGTGGGAAAGCCACCTGTCCCTCATGCCAGCCCCGGTGGCTGCAGCAGGAGACAGATAGGGAGATGAGAAGAAGGGCATCTTCAGCCAAGGAGGCCCCCGAGCGCGCTCACCTGGAGACCAGCTCCTTTGATGCGTCGATAAAACTCGTCGTCCTCCCGTCCCCAGCCCCAGAAGCGGTTGGACATGCCATTGCACTGCAACAAGACCGCACTGCTCTCCTGCAGCAGCCAAACACCACCACCACCACCCCCGGCCCCGAGCACGGCTGCAGCCTGCACTGTGCCATCAGCTCAAACCACAGATTCCTTTTCTCTCTTCCAAAGCGTGGGGCACAACACACACGCCAGGATTTCGTTGTACACCCAACCGCAAAGCAGGGGGGGTTAAGCTCACCATCTCATAATGCTGCTTGGTGAGCAGCAGGATCCCTCCCACGTAGGTTTTGTAGTGGTACAGCGGGTGCAGCTCTGGGGATGCCACGTGGAAGGGCCCGGCCTCGGGGAAGCCATAGTCCAGCTGCTCATTGAGGGGCAGCAGGTCGACGTCGTGCATGGCGATGTAGTCCGTGTCATTGCCGCTCTCCAGGAAGCCCACGTTGATCAGCGACGCTCTGTTAAACCTGCAATGGAACCGGGTACACGTCGCTGCCCCCTGCATGCGCACCGCACGGCATCCCCTGGCTTTGCAGCTCCTGTACCTGAAGTGATCCACCTGGTTGAGCACCAGGATGTGGTGGCGGATCCTCTTCTTGCTGAGGAAGCGGTGCATGTAAGGTACGAAGGCCAGCAGCTCCTCGAAACGCTCGCGGAAGGGCACGAGCAGCGCCAGGCGGTGCGGCCCCCACGAAGGGTCGTCGGCCGGCGGGGCGGGGGGTTCGGGCGGGCAGGGCGGCCGGGGGGCCCCGCGCCCGGGGGGAGCCGCTTCGCCCGAGCAGCTGAGCTGCAGCCAGAGCAGCGAGGCGAAGCCCAACAGCAGCGCGAGGAAGAAGAGCTGGAAGATGGAGAACTTGCCGGCCAGGAGACCCAGGAGCTGCGGGGAGCTGTGGCACGGCGGGCCGTCAGCGACGCTCCTTCCCGTCCCCCCCCCGCCCCCACGTCCCGTCCCCCCGCGCCGCCCCCGCTCACCCGCCGCCCCGCAGGCGCAGCGCGGCTCTCCGGCGGCCCGGCCCCATGGCGGACCCCGGCCCCGCCGCCGGGACACGCTGGCCGGGCCGTGCCGTTCCCCGGAAACAAAGCCCCGGCACCGGCGTTCCGCTCCGCTCCGCTCCTTCCGCCCGGCGGGGGCGGAACCGCGCTGGGACCCTCCTCCCCGCGCCCGCTTCAACCCCCGCGCCGCTACCTCCCCTGCTAGGACCCATTGCCCCCCCCACCCCCAATTCTCCGTTCCCCTCGTGCAGCTCAGCCCTCCGCCCCCCCCCCACCAAGCCTTCCACCCGGCCCCTCCCCAGCAGAGCCCCAGACACAGGCAGAGCCGCGGATGGTGTCAGTCCTTTAATGCCCCAGCCCCAACAACCCCTACATTCATACCCACCGCCCCGGGCAGCGCAGCGGGTCCTGGGGGTGCCCAGAGGAAGCACCGCGGCTCTCGGGGTGAGCGGTGCCTCTGCAGCAGGTGTGGGCTCTAATTAAAAACATTCCCCCCTCCCCCCCACCCCCCAAGTCCAGCCCGCTAGACAGCAAGTGTCCAGCAGGATTACAGCCACAGGGACAGTTAAGAAAATACTTCTTGTATTTCTCAGAAACAGCTTTTAGAAACCACAGTTTGTACAGCTCCCCATAGAAAAGGAACGGTTCGGGCACCGCAGCCCGGCTCTTCCATCAGTAAAAACGCTTGTTCCGCTCCTGGCGTTTCTGGAAGACCACAGCTCCCACCACAGCACACACAATGATGCCCAGCAGCGCGCAGAGCAGGAGCAGGAACACCTTCCAGCCTGTCAGGGGCCCACTGCGGAAATTCCCCGTCGGGTCATCCACATTGTCTGCAAGGAGAAGAAGTACGAGGCTCACCAAGCCTCAGCTCCACCAATGCTTCAGAGTGGAGGAATCTCAGCTCTAACACTGCCCTGCTGCTGAGCGGGAAGCTGCTGGAAAAACCAACGCTGGAGCACTGCTAAGAACAGGGAGATCACAGTGCTCAAGTGATAGATGGACATTTTCCCCACAAAATGCACTCTGCTGCTGCTGCTGGCAGCAACCACTGAACGCCGATGCGTAACACAGGCACCTGCCTCTTGACAGGCACACTGTGGCAGATTTTTCCAGATTTTTAGGTGCCCAGCCCCAAGATCTAAGTCCTTCACCAAAGGTTTGGGAAGCCCAGACACTCACCTTTGGGAGATTTAAGGAGACTGACGCTAGGCTCAATCTTTGTCCAGTCAACAGTGTCATCTTCTAGAGGATGCTCCACCATGAGCTGGAATAGCTTCATTGAAATAATGTCATGATTGTCTAGGAAGCAACCGTCAGCACTGAGGACTGTCAGAAGCCTTGAGAAATGCCCACGCTGGCAGAGCATCCCCAGCTCTGTGCTCTGCCAGGTGCAGGTCTCCTTCCCTCTCAAGCAACCCTCATATCCCAGGTATAATTTGAGATGCTTTTAGGTGCCTCCTTTCCCAGACAACGTGTCCCAATTCAATACAGTTTCAAAAGCCCCATGAACAAGAAGCCACCATCTACTGCATCCATGGCATTATACTCCAAGCACCAAGCAGCACATAATCCTGCAAGCAAAGCCCACTCACCAGATAAGTCTCCAGTGCCTGCAGAAGCACCAAAGAAGTAGCCAGTGGGCAGCTGTACCCCTGCAATGTCAATGCAGTTCTTCCATTCATTCTTGTCTTCTACATCTGTCATCACCTGTAGGACCAGGGGAGTCACACCGAGAACACTGGCTGCCCCACTGCCCAGCCAGCACTTCTTTTGGAGCTAGAGGCTGAATGTGGCAAACCACACACTGCCACAGTACCACCCACCCACCAATACCACCCTGCTGTATGTGCACGAGGTGCCCTGCAGAAGGCACAAGGCTCCCTGCACATCTCACCGTCAGGCGACCTCGGGAGTACCGAACTGCCAGGAAAGTGTCGTGATTCTGATTCCGAATCTCAGCAGTGCACCCTGCCAGCTCCGTCCAGCGCCCATCCTTACTGTGGTCGTAAGTCAGGGAGCCGTTGTTCACCATCGCAGAGATGTAGGGGAACACACGCTGCAGGGAGAACGTTAGTGCCTTCAGTCTGCAGCAGCCTTCCAGCTGCAGACCCAAGAGCCAACTTCCCCCGTCTGCACAGAAACCTCAGTGAGACCAGAAACGCAAGGCATGGTAACAAAGCGAGCATAGAGAGCTGAACCATTAAATCAAAACTCCTTTCCTATGTAAAGCTGGCCCTAAAATGAGCTAGAGCTTGTTCTGCCTAAAGCAGAATTGCCTTATCTGATCATCTGCATTAAGACTTCTCATGGGCTTACACAGCAGTGGAGGCTCATGACAATGGGACAGTGCCCAACAGAGTAACTTGAAGAGAATGCACAAGATCCAGCGAGAAGCCTACAGACAGCACAGAAACTGGGCAGCAACTGCACATTAGCAGCAAAGCCACATTCAAGATTTTGTAGTCAGTAGGTGATGTGTGTTGTAAGGAGCAGCTAGAAGCAAGAATTAACAACTCAGTGAACATCAAGACAAGCAGACAGGGTCACTTCCCAGGTATTTATGACTTAGTGTCACCAAGTGGTTGGGGCAACAGACCTCACTAATGCTGTTACGTTGTCTAACCATGTCATAATGAGATCCACAAACATGAAGCAGGACAGAAGGATCACAACCACTGTGGGGAAATTCTGGAGAAGAAAGCCAGCACAGGAATTTCTCTTTTAGAAAAACAGACTGGAGATGGAGAACAAGGCCAGAAACAATGTGAGATGGTCAGAGAAGTTCAGGAAATGACACCTGGGATTAATATATTTTCAGATGGATTTCACATTCAATGTCTACTGTCCTATCAGAAGCAGGGGAAAGGCCCTGGGAGCAAAGGAGCAGTCAACAACACCATGAGATGGAGCAAGCACCTGTCCCCGTTAATGTACATACATCCTCTGCTCTTTACCAGCTCACAGGACAGGAACAACAACAATCTGTTCTTGCATAAAGAAAGTTTTCCTCAGTCCAGGTATGAAGCACTTGCAGCACAAAGCCACAAGGAAACAGCCTCCTGGGCACTGAGTGAGCTCCCTGAACTACTCACCTCTGTTGCTTCATCATTGGGATACGTATCAAGGAAAATAGCCAGCCCATGAAAATTGTCCCTGCTGCCAAAAACAGGACCTGGAACAGGGCAGAACACAGTAAATGGATGGCTCTGTTCCGTACCCTCATCCTGAAGCCCTGGTTCGTAGGTCTTTGACACTGAGATTCCTTCCAGCTGGCACAAGTAGCACAGCCCTACCTCACCTCAAAGCACAGCCCAACGAGGCACAATCTGCACAAGGACAGCAGACACAGCACCAGGCCTGCCCATGCAAACTGCACACAGCCCCAAGGGAAGAACTGGGCACAATGGCCACTGAGAAGCACCGCTCATCTGGAGCATTGCTGCAAGCTTTCAGGTCAGGATGGACTGAGCAGAGCACTCCTCTCTAAGCTGGGGTGGGCAAGGGGAGCTCAAAACCTGCTCTTCAGAGAGGCAGCTCTAAGGCTGTCCCAGGACACATGCAAGCACTGCTGAACCCAGGTTGTGCATGGGGCTCATGCTGAACACCTAGAGTCATAGAATTGTTTGAGTTGGAAAGGACCCTTAAAAGTCATCTACTCCAACACCTCTGATGTCTCCAGGGAAAGGGCACAAATCACTTCTCTGGGCAAGCTGTGCCAGTGCCTCACCATGCTTTGTGTAAAAACCTTTATTTTTTCTTATATCCACTCTCAATCTTCCCTCTTTTAGTCTGAAACCATTTCTTCTTGCCTAACACAACAGACGCTGTTAAAGAGTCTGTCCCCTTCCTTCTTATGGCTCCCCTTTAGATACTGAAGGGCTGCTGTCAGGTCTCCCCAGAGCCTTCTCTTCTCCAGGCTGAACAGCCCCAGCTCTCCCAGGCTGTCCTCACAGGGGAGGCGTTCCATCCCCTGGATCATTTTTGTGGCCCTCCTCCAGTGGCACTCTAACAAGTCCACATCTCTCCTGTGCTGAGGGCTCCAAACCTGGACGCAGTACCCCAGGTGAGGTCTCACCAGCACAGAGCAGAAGGGCAGGATCACCTCCCTCACCCTACTGACCACGCTTCCTTTGATGCAGCCCAGGAAAAGGTTGCCATTCTGGGCTGCCACCTACCTGGCACGAGGCGCTCCTGCGTGTACCACAGGGCCAGGCCATCCCCATGCAGGTTCTTCTTGCCAGCGCCGTGGATCTTGAAGTGGACGTGCAGCTCCCAGTCCTTCAGAAAGCAGGGCTGCGGAACAGAATCAGTGTCAGCCCGGCACGGGGAACGGCCCTCCAGCCGCCCGCCCCGGGGCTCACCACGCGGTTCCAGATGGAGCCCTCCCGGCTGCGTTCATCAGGCGTCAGACGCACGTACTGGCTGGTAACCATGGTGCTGCCCTGGAAGTCCCACAGCGGCATCGCGGCGGAGCCTGCGCCTGCGACGGGTGCAGAGAGCGTGGTTCAACGCGCAGCCCCGGCCAGGCCCCGGCCCCCGCCCGCCGCGCCCCGCGCTCACCCTGGTACGGCTTCATCAGCGAGTGCTCGCGCTTCAGGTGCTCGCTGTTGCCATCCGTAAGCTCGGCGGGGGCCAGCCGCGGGCCGACCCCCGCCAGCAGCAACAGCGCGACCGCCACCAGCTGCGCGCCTGCCGCCATCCTCCGTTTCCGCCTTCCGCCGCGCCGCGCCGCGCCCACCCCGCAGCGGCGGCCCTCTCTGCCAATCACGGGCCTCCGGACCGCTGCGCTCCCGCCCCCGCGGAATGACGTCACTCCCGCCCGCCTATGGGAGGGGAGGGGGCGGGGCCAGCGAGGCCGCAACTTCCACCGCGCGGCAGTCCGGATCCTGGAGCGGCAGCACAGCGCCTCCCGGCGTGCGCCGCGCGAGCGCGAGGCCTGTTGGGAGCTGCAGTCCGCTCCGCTCCTCCTCGTGCCGCCCGCGGGGCACGTGACCCGCTCCGCCCCGCCCTCCGGCAGCCCGTTGCCATGGTAACGCCTCACAAGATGGCGGCGGGTGTCACGGGCCATACCGCGCGGACAGAGGGGCGCAGCACAGAAGGGCGGCAGAGTCAGTGCGGAGCTCAGCGCTGCTTTATTGAGTGCTGCCCGTGCTGCCGGCCCAGGACAGTGCCCCGCATCACGTTAGCCCGCTGGGTCTCATCGCTGAACCACATCTCTCACTGCCACATCCCGCGCTGTCTGTGTATGGGCTGTGCCCAGCAGCGGCGCCCGTGCGGGAGGTGGGAGAGGCCGTAACGCTGTGGGCCCTGCTTCTCTCCACCAGGAAGGACCCAGGGTACGTGGAGGCCCAGAAGATGAGGAGGGAAGGGAGGATGAGTGGTGAACAACCGCGTGGAAAACCCCTCAGAGCATGAGTTGGAGGCTCAGGGCCCGGTCAGGCCTTCGGGGTATGTAGGGAATGAAGGAGAGGTTGGCTGCGGCTTAATGATCTGCAGCTCTGTCACTTTGCAGCTCTCACTTCTTCCTGCTCGTGATCTGCTTGGAAATCCAGTTCATTCCATCCTGAGGGGAAGAGAGGTATGAGCACAGCCTGCTGCTACATACCTGCAGCACTGGCGGCCGCTCACTCCGTACCTGCACACCTTCTCCAGACAGGGCTGAGCAGGCCTGGATCTGCCACTCTCGGTCCCGGTAGGTGTGGAGGCTCAGCCCTTCTGCAATCTCAGCCGCAGGTGCTGCTGTCACCAGGTCCTGCTTGTTGGCAAATACCAGCAGTGGGACCCCCATCAGAGATTCCTCCTCAGTGAGCTCCGCCAGCTCCTGCCAAGAGAGAACCCCTTCCCAGCAGTGCTACTGCTCCCACAGAGCTGTGTTCTTCCTCTTTCAGGCACTGGTGAGTCTCAATTTGCCGTGAGGTCTCCACGACCCAAGGGGGAGATGGGAACCCTTGAAGCTACATCTGCCCTGAGGAGAACTGGAGCCGCACTCAGCATTGCCTGAGGGACAGAACGCTCCTGGCACCCAGAGCACCTTGGGCAAAGGGCAGCTACTGTCTGGCGCCCACGCCTCTTTTCCTGGCAGAGTGGTGTCAGCATGGCCTCAGCTGACACTGTCTCACCTTCCATTCTTTGCTTTGCTTTCCAGCTTTACATCTCCCAGTTCACTACCTGAGTAAATGGCTTTCTTACATGGTCGTATTAGAGATAGGCACCCTGTGTCAGATGTCCCTGGGGCATCATCCCCAGCTAGGTAGGATGGGCAGAGCTGCTTGGGGCAGGTCTGCTGTGGGGTGGGACAGATCTGCATGCTGAGGCCCTGGTCATGAGCCCTTCCCACACAGCTTGGGGAACAACTCAACCACCACGGGGAATAGCCCACAGAAAACAGCTTTGTTCCCCACTTTTGTCCCCAGAACCTCACCACCGCCCCTTGCCCAGACCGTTCATACCTGCCCTGTCTCCTCAAAGCGCTTCTGGTCTGCACTGTCGATGACATAAATCTGCCAGGGGGGACAAAAGGAACAGCAGGCAGTCCCTCCTCACGCATCACACAGCCCTCTGCTTGCTGCAGGGCTCTGCTAGGGCATGGCCCCTGGCTCACCAGCAGATCAGTGCTGCCCAGGTACTTCCTCCAGTAAGGTCGGACGGCGCGCTGCCCACCGATGTCCCAGATGTTCAGCTTGAAACCATGCGAGTGGACGCTCTTGATGTTGAACCCCTGTGTGGGGAAGCAAACTCTGGCATCACCCCAGGGGAAGAAAGACAGGACCCAATGCCCTCCCACTGCGCGTGCTTCAGAGCAGCCTGTACCTGGGTGGGAGTGATGGTGCTGACCTCCTCAGATGCCAGGCACTTCAGCAGCGTGGTCTTGCCTGCATTGTCCAGCCCCAGCAGCACGATGCGGAGCTCCTGTCCTGGGGAGCCCCTCAATCTCTGGATGACAGAAAGCAGCCCCCGAGGATGCGGAGAGCTGGGAGAGTCCTGTGGTGTGCTGGGTTGCTGCAGAGCACCCTCGTTTTGCAGTGGGGAGCTGGGTGCCCTGCTGTCCATGGGTGCCCTGTGTCTGTGGCCTGAGCAAAGTCTGGGACTTTGTCCCAAGGTGCACAGGTTCAGGGTGACCCCACGGAAGATCCGCCCAGTCTGTCCTTCTCCCTGGAAGCCCAGGCAGCTCCTGGCAGGCTAGGGGACAAGCTCTGGTGCTGCTCTGCCAGCCAAGCACTGATGCCAGTGCAGCTGCTCAGGGCAGGAGGGATGTAGCCAGACCCTCCCCCCCCACCTCTTGCACATCACCCACGGTTTGGGAATGGCTGCAGCTCACAGCACACCCAGGGAGAGGCTGGGGGCTCATCCCTGGGGCACTGGCATCTGCGTGACTGGCACACTCTCCATCCCTGGGGGAGGAAGAGGATTATGGGCTCCTGAATTAGCTACTGTTTCTCCATTTACTCACAGCATTAAGTAATGCCCTCAGTAAATCCCCCAGCCAGCTGTCACCATCCACTACCTCTTCCTGCTCCCGACCCCCAGGGTAAAATGGGGGGCACAGAGCATCCCTCTCCCCAACTCATGGGGATGCTAGCACAGCAGGAGGACGCAGTACCTAGGTACCTAGGCACCACAAGCACTGTGTTGGAATCGCCAGCAAGGGATACTGTGGACAGGGTCAGGCACACAAAAGAGGGCAGCTGAGGGCTGTGGAGGGAGCAAAGTGTGGCCAGGATTCCTCTCCCTTCAACCTAAAGCATGACAGGAGGTGACACTGGGGCATGGCTGCTTGGAGCCACATCAGCCTGAGGGAGACACGGGCTGTGGAGCAGGACAGGGATGTTCATAGAATCATGGAGTCATAGAATGGCCTGTGTTGGAAGGAACCTTAAAGACCCCAGCCCCAACCCCTGCCTCGGGTTGGCTGCCCCAAACCGGATCAGGCCGCACGGGGCCCATCCATGGCACCGGGTACCTCCAGGGACGGGGCACCCTGCAGCCCACCCTGCCGCACACGGGGCCAGCGCTCATCCCAGAGCCAATTGGATGAGGTTAACCAAGCCATGCGCTCGCTTCTCACACGCCCGGCTCGTGTTTCCACGCAGTTATCCCTGCAGGGAGGACGGTGACTCACGCGCCCTGGGTGAGCAGTTTTTATTTATAACTCGCAGTGCGGAGCCAAGGCAAACAGTGCGGCGACGAAGGGAGGGGGAGCTGCGAGCACCCCGATGCCATCGCCACGCGTGGATCTCCGCCCGGCTCAGCACCTCGCTCACCGGCCCCGCTCGCATCCCGTTATCCGCCCCGCTGTTACCGCAGCGCCCAGCCGTCCGCCCGGCGCTCACTCACGTTTCCCGGCCCGTCTCAAAACACCCTCCCCAAAACACCCTTTCCCTGCGGCTGCCGGATCCCCTCATCGGGGCACCCCAACGCCGCGGGGCCGCCCCGGGGCAGCGCCGCTCTCCCGGTGCCCGACGCTGAGCGGAGCCGGGGCAGCCGCTACCGGCGGAGGGAGGGAGGGCGGCTCCGCTCCCCCCGGCTGCGGTCTCGGTTCCCATGGCGACACTTCCTGTGGCAGCCGAAAGCGGCAGTGCCGGCGGGGCCGGGGGTGCCGGGAGGGCCGGGCCGGGCCGCGATGCTGCGGGGCGGCGGGTAGCCCGGCGGGCCGGGCCGGGCCGTGCCAGGCATGCAGGGCAAGGGCAAGCTGCTGCCGGTCCTCAACGGGCGGATGGTGAGCGGGGTCCGGCTGGGTACCGAGCTCGGCGAGATGCGGGAGAAGGAGGGGTGGGGCTGGGGTGTGGTGCGAGCCTGGGGCGTGCGGGGATGGGGTGTGCGGGGTGGGCAGCGGGGGGTGGGCGTCGGGGTTGGGTGGGGAGGGGTTGTGGGTGCGGGGGTGGGAGGTGGGGGGGCTGGGGCGGGGCCGGGCAGGGGGATGCTGTGGGGCTTTTGGGGCTGGGGGGGCACAGGGCAGCTCCGTGGGTGTGGGGCTGGCAGGGGGCACCGGGCCCGGGGAACCACGCCAAGCGGTGCGGCGCTTTGCCCACCCCCGTGCTGGGGGTGAGCGTGAGGCCCTGCCCATCCTCCTGGGTGCCACGTCCCTGCAGGAGCTGCCCAGGGCGGCCTGGGGGATGCTGCAGGATGCCCTGGGCCAGCAGCTGGGGCACGGACTGACCCCAGGCTCTGGGCGCTGGATTTCCAGTAGCCCCAGGCCCCAAAGCAGGAGGCAGCGGGCACTGTGCCTGCCTGGGGCTGTGGGTTCTCCTTCCTCCCCTGCTCTTCCTGTGTTGGGGAGGCTGCTTCTCCCTGCGTAGTGGCAGAGTCACATCTGACATCATTTGCCCTTTCCCAATTGCCGAGCCCAGAGCGGCAGAGGCATGCAGGTGGGAGAACAGCAGTGTGCTCACTGCACACCCACAGCACTGCTTGCTGTGCTGGGGGAGTCCCATGTCCTACCCCCACCATGGGGCAACAGCTCCAGCTGTAGGTAGATAACACCGGGGCGGTATCTCTAGCTGTTTGCCCTCCCTCACCTCTCTTCTCCACCCTGCAGGGCCCAGCTGTGTCAGATGGAGGTAAGGCTGTTTGCTGTGCTGGGACGAGGTTGGTGGCATCTTCAGGGGAGGGGGAGCCCTGCAGTCCCATCCATCCCTCTCTCCTCCACTGGGCTCCTGGGTGCTGCAGTACTGGCTGGGGCATGCTGAAACCAGTGCTCTGAGGGGATGCTCCCTGTTTGCCAAGTCATGCCTTGATTTGGACTGATCGAGAACAGCAGGGCCCGGCAAAGCAGCAAGCTGCCTCCTCCCTGCTGGGGAGCAGCCAGGATGCTGCTGCTCCTGCATGCCCTGTCTTCCTGCTGCTGGTTCTCTCAGTCCAATAGCTGTGCTCACCAGGGGTTCCTGCAGGATTAGGGACCTGGGTGGCTGCTCTGTGTCCCCCACAGTCGTCAGGGCTGGGGGGATGGAGGAGGTAAACTGAAGCACAGTGCAGAGGCATAGTTCCTGGGGAGTACCTCCAGCCATCCTCCAAGCTCTCTCGATGAAACATGCCCCCCATTTACTCCTGCCATCCTGCTTCCGCTCACCACTGGGTGCCTTCCCCACACCATCTTTGTTTCCCAGGAGATGAGTCACACGCAGAGTGAGGTGACAGCCCTGGGAGGGAGTATTGTCACGCTGGAAGGTGTCAGCTTGTGCCATCCATCGCTGTGCTCAGTCCAATGGTGATGCTGATGAGATGCGCAGAGCAGCGGCCCAGCTCCCTGTGCTCCCATCCCACATCCCGCAGGGCTGGAGCAGCCAGGATGGGGCAGACAGACTTGGGGCAGATAATGGAGGCTGCAGGCAGCAGTTCTTTGGGGGCTGACTCAGCTCCAGCTAAATGCCCATGCACAGGGTGGCCATGGTGCCCAGGGCCTTGGACCTGAACTTTTCTCTCTCTTTCAGAATTAAATGCATCCAGAGCCAGGGGCAGCAACCACAGCGTGAACAGCCTGCCTGCAGTGCAGTCCCTCAGCAGCAATACACACAGCTCTGTTGTCAGCTGGGCCGAGTCCTTTGAGACACTGCTGCAGGACCGCGTGGCTGTCACCTACTTCACTGTGAGTGCTGCAGCCCACACTCTGCGCTGTCTACGGCTGCAGTCCTGGCCTCAAGCACCCCATGCTCTGGGTGCAGCCAGGCCAGCAGCTCTCTGCCCCACAGGAGTTCCTCAAGAAGGAGTTTAGTGCCGAAAATGTCTACTTCTGGCAGGCATGTGAGCGCTTCCAGCAGATCCCAGCCAGCAACACACAGCAGGTACTGACCCCATGCAGAGGATGTGGTCTGAGATGTGGAGGTGGCAATCATGTCACTGTGTTCCTGGGTGCTTGTATGACTGTTGTTAGGGAGGATGGGTTCTTGTTGGGACAAGAAAGTGGGCGCAGGGCAGGCTGTGCTTCTTCATCTCTGGGGCAACAAAAGGATGAAGGGTGCTGCTGCCAGGGGCAGGGATGGGAAAAGAGATACAGGAAATAGGACAGCAAGGGGCAGGGCCAGGTAACTCTTCCATTGAGATGTACTGGGTGTGAGGCCAGTCCCTGTCCTGCCTCGGGTGGGACTCGGCCCCCAGACTTCAGGGGCTCAGACAGGTGGGGCCCATGGCCCCATCCTGAGTCCTGTTCCTAGCTGGCGCAGGAGGCGCGGCGGATCTACGATGAGTTCCTCTCCAGCCACTCGGTGAGCCCCGTCAACATCGACCGGCAGGCCTGGATTGGGGAGGACATGCTGGCAACTCCCTCACCGGATATGTTCCGCCTCCAGCAGCTCCAAGTGAGACAAAAACCTCCAATCCCACTCCAGCAGTGAGGCAGGAGCCAGACCCCCAGGCTGGGATGCTGAGCAGGCACCTTTTCCCCCCCTCAGATCTTTAATCTGATGAAGTTCGACAGCTACACACGTTTTGTCAAGTCTCCGCTCTACCAAGCCTGCCTGACAGCTGAGAGCCAGGGTCAGCCCCTGCCAGACCTGCGGCCCCACTCCCGCAGCAGCAGCCCCCCTCCAGACCTCAGCAAGGTGCGTGGGGTGTCAAGAGGACACAGACCCATCTCGGGCCAATCACAAGCCTGAGGGGTGGAGACATAGTGGGAGACAGGGCAGCCCCCATGCTGAGCTTCCTCCTCTTTTCCCCAGAAGTCAAAGCTGAAGCTGGGGAAGTCTCTACCACTGGGTGTGGAGACAGCTGGCAGTAGTGCTAACCGCAGCCCTCGCCGTTCCTTCCGCAAGGGCGAGCGACGGGAGCCCTCCTGGGCAGGTAGGAGACATGCAGGGCAGCTCTGGGTGTTCCTGTCCTCGTGCCATCCCCACCATGTCTATCTGTCTGTCCTAGATGGTGGAGAAGGTGGCGGAAGCGCTGTGCTATGGAGAGAGTCCCAGGGTTCCCTGAACTCTTCCGCCAGCCTGGACCTGGGCTTCCTTTCCTCAGGCAGCACAGCTCCCAGCCCCTGGGCAGAGGTAAGTCCTCACTGTGCCAGCCCCACAGCACTACTGCCCACGCTGATGGTGGCTCTCCTGTCCCACAGGGCCACCGCAAGAGCCTGGGGGGCAGCGAGGCTGAGGCCAAGCCCATGAAGTACTGCTGCGTCTACCTGCCTGATGGCACGGCCTCACTCGCCTCCGTGCGGCCTGGTCTCTCCATCCGGGACATGCTGGCTGGGATATGCGAGAAGCGCGGCTTCAGCCCCTCCGACATCAAGGTCTATCTGGTGGGGAACGAGCAGGTACAGGGCAGGGGGGCTCCTGCCAGCAAGGCTGGTGTGGCATGGATGCGTCCCTGCCAGGAGCATCATGATTTTGCTCTTGCAGAAAGCACTGGTGTTGGACCAGGAGTGCTGTGTGCTGGCAGACCAAGAGGTGAAGTTGGAGAACAGGATAAGTTTTGAGTGAGTGTCATTTTCAGGACTGATGCCTTTGTATATCTGTTCCACATCATCCATCCCAACTTCCACACGGTACCTGGACCCCCAGTGTTGTCTTTCTCTCTGCAGTCTGGAAATCTCCTCCCTCAACAAGACCATCCGCATCACGGCCAAGTCCACCAAGCGTATTCGGGAAGCGCTGCAGCCTGTGCTGGGGAAATACAGCATAAGGACGGAGCTGGCACTGTTGCGGCGGGTGAGGGTGGTGGGGCAGTGATCTGTATAGGGCCAGAGTGGGCAGCAGTAACTGGGGGTGCTCCATGTTGGGTAGTCCCCAACCTGGTGAGTGCTGATGCTATAGTCACAGGCCCTCCACCCAGTCACCTTTGCTACGTGCCATGTTTGACACTGGTGTTCCCCATTGCAGCAAGGTGAGCAGGCATCCCTGGACATGGACAAGCTGGTTAGCACAGTGGCCGCACAGAAACTCGTCCTGGAAATGCCAGCAGGTAACGTCTGCTGTCTCCTTCCAAGCACTGTCACTCCCATGAGCCATGTCACTGCTCCTAGAAGTGTCCCCAGCCCCTCCTGCTGCTTTTTGCTGGCGGTAGCTTCTACTCCCTAGGTGAGCACAGAGCACTTCTCTTCTCTGTATTGCAGACATGCAAATTACAGAGAATGCTGAGGCTGCGGCTGCTCCTTCCCCTCTCCAGAGTGAGGTGAGTCCAAGATCCCACTGCAGGAGTGCCTGTGGGGAAGTTGTACCCCACTCTGAGCCCTGGGAGGAGGCAGGGGTAGGAAAGCACTGCTTACTTCCCCTGTGCTGAGGCATGGCTGCTTCCTGCAGGAGGGAAGCCCGACAGGAGCAGAGCCTGACACACCATGGGGGACAACCTCCTCCAGGCCACGGTCATCAGCTGCCAGCAACCTGAACCGCCGCACATATGACCTGGAAGGTGAAAGCTGACATGCCCCAAATCTTCTGGACTGGGGCAAAACGTGGGCTGGGGGGAGGCAGGTCCCTTCTGCACCACGGATGGATGTGAGGTCCCATGAATGCAGGATCCCCATGGGATGGCTAAGGCCCGTGTCCTTTTTCCCCAGGGCTGGTAGAGCTGCTGAACCGTGCGCAGAGCTGCCGGGCCAATGACCAGCGTGGGCTGCTCTCCAAGGAAGACCTGGTCCTGCCTGACTTCCTCCAGCTGCCAGGGCAGGATGATGGTACCTGCCGGGGGACAGAGCCACCCAGTGCCCTTCACCCGGGGAATGGCCACCCCGGTCCTGCCAAACCTGCACCAGCTCAGCCTGCGGTTGACCGTGAGCCCCGGTGAGCCCTGCTCCACACCTGCGCCAGCGTGTGGAGCTGCCAACACTGCCCAGACCACAGATCCATCCATGTCCTGTCCTAGCCTCATGTTGTGTTGCTGTGAGTGGTTGAACAGTTGCCATGCCCCTCAGTGGGGCCATACCCCAGTACACGTCAAGGGAGTCCTGTATATAGGTCAAACCCCTGTTGCAAAGCACTTTGCAGCATCCCACATGCTCCTGGCGCTATTCCTGCCTGGTGCCTCTGCCCTGGAGCAGGGCTGCCCCTAGGCAAATCCTGCCCCTGGGAGAATCCTGCCTGCACCAAGCTGGTGCAGACCCGCAGGAAACAGCCTTTGGCCCAATGGGGGACAGGATAGAGAGGATGTGGCCAGACTGGGTGGCAGAGCAGGCGCCAGCTCTCAGCCCCAGTGCTGTAGACAGGCAGAGACAGGAGAGTGCATTGGCCCAGATCAGGCCCTGTCCCAGCAGCAGCAGTGTGAGACTCTGCATGGGAAGCTGCAGAGACGGCCCTCAGGGCATACACCCACAGCCCCTGCCTGGTCCCTGCTGGAGCTGTGGACATTCAGCCCTTGGGGATAAGTCTGTCCTGTGCTAGAAGTGCTGGATCAGTGCGGCACCTCTGAGTGTTCAGCATCTCAGCCTGCCCTAGGCAAGTCCAGCAGTGGCCTGGGCCACCGCTCAATCCCCACTCCCCAGCCACAGGCAGAGGGGTGGCCCAGGGCAGCCTCCTGCTCCCCCAGGCAGGTGTCACAGCCCTCAGGGCTGGCTCAGAGCCCCCATGTGTCTCCGTGGTGCTGCTCAGTCCTGTCTGTGGTGTGAAACCAGGGGAAATAAAGAGCATTGCCTGGAATCACTTCTCTCTCCTCCCTTCCTTCTCTGCTGGGGATCCATACTGTGCTCAGCTCTTGAGGGATGTTGGGGTAGCTTCTCCTGAACCCCAGTACCCACACAGCCCACTAGAACTGTTCCCTACAACCCTGCCCGGTATCCATCCTGCTCTTGCAGGAAGGGGCAGCAACAGTAGCCTGTTTTCCGTGTACTACTAATGATGCAGGGGAAACTGTGGGGCTGGTAGGACTTCAGCCCCAAGGCTGTCAATGAGTGACAGCCCAGCTGCCAGGGCCTCTGCAGGTTAATGATTGTGGGGACAGCCAGGCAGCAGCCACCGAATCCTCTGGGCACAGGGCACATGTGGCCACCAGTCTCCCCCACTGGCAGAGCTGGGCACGGGGGCCATGGGGTGCTCCCTGACTGCAGCCCCTGGCCAAGGGACCTCCATGCCCCTGCTGAGAGGCACGCTGCAGCCTGGTAAGGGGCAGGGGGTCCCTTGCAGGCTTACCCACAGGCTGTCCCCAAGCACCAGCAGCACCTTGGGTGCCCTTGTCCCCATATAAGCTATTGCATCTGGCTTATTTGCACTTATGGAGTTGCCATGTTACTCTGCAAATAATGACTTCCCCACACAGCCTCATCCCACTGCTAGCACTGGTGCATGGCATCACTGTCCCCTCCAGATCTGCCATGGCACAAACCCATGGACTAATGGAGACGAAGCTCTACTCCCCAGCTGGGTGCCCTGCTTGGCCCAGGGTATCTCGTCCAGCACCACAAATGTCTCCCGGACCCTGCTGCACCAAGGGAGCAGCACGTGCTGCCAGGGTGACCCAGGCACAGGTCACACAGTGCTCCATGCCCCAGTAGGCACAGTCCAGAGCACAGTGGGTGCCCTGACGCACTCGTGGGCAGCAGCCATGTGGCACCAGCTGGACCCAGCTCCAGAGGAACAGAAGCAGCATGGGCATGCAGCCCCTCTGTGCCCGCTTGCAACTGTACTGGAGGGGCCTTTGGCCCCAGCTCTGCCCTTGGCTGCCATGGGCACGAGCTGGCCAGGCACCACGTGGGTGGATGGAAACTTGGCGGAGGTGTGTAAATGAGGGGTAATAATAAACAGCATTGAGGCGCAGTGACAAGCACACAGGCACTGCTCCCCTTCCACTCGACCTGGCATCATGCATGCTGAGATAAAGCTTTCTTTGTGGTGCACTGGCATGGGCGGGCGGCATGCCACCATCACTGATGACACAGGGACCACACCAGTGCCTGTCCTGCTGGCAGCATCCTGCTGCAGTGCTGATGCAACCACTGCCACCACCCTTGGGCCAGACCAGCAGAGCTGTGCCCTTGGGATTGTGAGGCCGACGGGTGCGTGTATGGCCTCATCTCCAGTTCAGGAAGCTCCAACAGTGAGACGTCCTCTTCCTCTCCTGCAGGGGATGAAGTGTATGGTGCGAGGCTGCCTTAGAAGTGGTGATGCAGAGCCTCGGGCAGGTGAGGTGGGGTGCACAGGTTGTGCAAGGCACCATGCCCTGGGATGTGTGCCCCGTGCCACCCCCAGGACTGCGGCTGACGTGGGATGCTGTGGGGTTACCCATTAACTGCAGGAATTTCTGGGGAGGAGGTGAGCAGTGAGCAGAGGCGAGGGGCAACGCTGGGCTCCTTAGACTTTGCTCTTGACGTGCATATAAAGGGCCCTGGTGCCCCGTGGGCCACTTTGCTGGAGGAACGCGTGGATTTGGCATGAGGACATGGCACTGCTCTGAGTGCTTGGCCAGCACCAGGTGAGCAGCACTGGTGCCACCATTGCGTGGTTTTGGGGTGGCAGTGGTTGGAGAAGTGCAGATGTGGCCCCACCACAGTGACGTGTGGCTGCCTCTGCTTAGACTCAGCCAGAGCAATGCTGCCGTACCGGAGGGAGAGCCCGGCCATGCCCCGCTGCCCGGTGCGGGGAGGAAGGGTGGTGCACGGGACCCCGTTTGCCTACTGCCCCAGTCCCCAAGGTAGGTCTTCCAGCCCTCCTCCTCACCACCCTCCTCTCCATGCAGAGCTCAGCTCTGCTTTCCCAAACCAAGCGGGCTCCATGCCCAGCACCTTGAGAGGACAGGGCCATAATGCATGTTGGATATGCCTGTATCCAGCTCTGCACAGGCTGCCGGGTGCCCACACCTGCCCCTTCACTGTGGGAGCAGTGACCTGCCCTGACCATGGCTTCCTGTGCCCTGGCTCTCCGGGGCGGCTGGTGGAGAGCCGGGAGCGCTATGAGCTGGATGCACTGCCCTGGCAGGGACCTCGCCTGGGCTTGGAGGAGCTGCAGAAGCCAGGTGAGGTCCTCAAGCACTGCACCCAGCAAGGAGGGCAGGGGGTGTGGAAGATGCTCAATGCCCTGTGGTGCTGCAGGCAGACCCACAAACATGGCCAGGCATACGGACACGTGCCCGGCGTGTAACACTCTCTCTTGTCTTGCACAGAGCTGGGCTGCTGGGTGAGGGTCCAGTCCATCTGTGTCTCCCTTCTCAAGGTGCCTCTGATGTTTGGTTTCCTGTACCTTTTCGTCTGCTCCCTGGACGTGCTCAGCTCTGCTTTCCAGCTGGCCGGAGGTACGGCCGTGGGCAGAGGGCAGCCAGCAGTACCCCAGCTCCAGTGCCCTGCCCTCACGCTCTCTCACAGGCAAAGTGGCGGGGGACATCTTCAAGGACAACGCCATCCTCTCCAACCCTGTAGCCGGGCTGGTGGTGGGCATCCTGGTGACCGTGTTGGTGCAGAGTTCCTCCACCTCCACCTCCATCATTGTCAGCATGGTCTCCTCGGGGCGTGAGTGCACCCGTGGGGCTCCCTGGGGCTGGGGGTAGGATGGCTGAGGAGGATGTGGGGCTAGCAGGTCTCTCTGCCACCAGTGCTGGAGGTGCGCTCTGCCATACCCATCATCATGGGCTCCAACATTGGCACCTCAGTCACCAACACCATCGTGGCCCTCATGCAGGCTGGTGACCGCAGTGAGTTCAAAAGGTGAGCATTTGATGGAAGCAAAGGGACTTGGAGGGACCGAGGGCTGCCCCACACTGACACGCAGACTCCTCCATGCAGGGCTTTTGCTGGTGCTACTGTGCATGACTGTTTCAACTGGCTGTCGGTGTTGGTCCTGCTGCCACTGGAGGTGGTGAGCGGGTACCTGCACCACGTCACCCGCCTGGTGGTAGCCACCTTCAACATCCGCAGTGGGAAGGATGCCCCTGACCTGCTGAAAATCATCACAGAGCCCTTCACCAAGCTCATCATCCAGGTCTCCTTGGGTTGGCTGTGTTGTCCCCAGGGGTGGTCCTCCAGCATTGGTGTTCCCATGCTAGTAATACTGTTCCTAGCACCAGTGTCCCTGCAGTGGCAGTTCTGCCAAAGGCTGGCAGCAAGGTCCCCATCACAGCATAGATATCCCCAGCCTGGGGATGCTGCCAGCCCCACAGTGCCATCCCCTCCAATGTGCTGTTGCAGCTGGACAAGTCGGTGATCACAGGCATCGCGACAGGGGATGAGAGCCTGCGCAACCGCAGCCTCATCCGCATGTGGTGCGACCCCGCACCTCCCCAGGTGAGGGGCTTATGGCCTTGCTATGATGCTGGCAGCAGCAGGCTGGCCAGCCAGATCCCCCCTAGAAGCACCCCACAGAGGGCGATGGGCTGAGGCTGGTGAGGATGCTATGGACTCACCCTGAGCCTACCTGCTCTCTGCAGACAGCTGCCAGTGAGGTAGGAGTGCCTCCAAACTGCACGGCTTCTGGACACTGCAGCAGTAATGGCATTGGGATCCTCCACAATGTCACCAGGCAAAAGTGTGAGTGGATCTGGAGGGGGTGCTTGTAGGGCTGGGGGTGCTGTGGGTTTGGAAGCCCTGGGCTGGACTGAAGGAGGGCCGGGTGATGCTGTGGGGCTGCGCGGGGCTGCTTGGTGGGGACAGGTTTGTGAGCGGGGCTGGGCAGGCCCCAGGCCCTCTCCCAGCCGTGCTGTGGGGCAGGCGAGCACCTCTTCACGGACACGCCACTACCGGACCTGGCCGTGGGGCTGGTTCTGCTGGCCGGGTCCCTCATCGTGCTCTGCACCTGCCTCATCCTCCTGGTCAAAATCCTCAACTCCCTGCTCAAGGGGCAGGTGGCCAAAGCCATCCAGAAGGTCATCAACACTGGTGAGTGGGACAGGGACGACTGTGAGATGGGACACTGACAGCCCCAGCTCTCTCTGCTTCACCCCTGTCATCCCCCATCCTAACCCTACTTCTAACCCCCAGTCCTGCATGAACTCCTGGCCCCATTCCTACCTGCTCCCTGCTCTATTTATGCCCATCACATCCTCCTGGTGTCCACATCCCCCTTCCCATCCATCCATCCATCCATCCTGCCCAGCAGACTCCTGCAGCCCCAAGCTTGGCCCTATACCCAGAACCCAATCCCACAGCTCTCTCCCTAGCACCAGGCAGCAGCTCTGGGCCGATCCCAGCTGACACGTCCATGTCTGTGCCCTTGTCTTGTGCCATGGCAGACCTCCCACACCCGTTCAGCTGGCTCACTGGGTACTTCGCCATGGTGGTGGGCGCTGGGATGACCTTCGTGGTCCAGAGCAGCTCCGTCTTCACCTCAGCCATCACACCCCTGATCGGTCAGCCCCAGACACGTGCCGGTCCCTGCCACAATGGCCCATGGGCACTTGGATGCTCAGACATGTGCCTCAAGGGAGAGGGCTGCGATGCCAAGGGGTGCCTCTCTCACAGGCTTGGGGGTGATCAGCATTGAGCGTGCCTACCCGCTGACCCTGGGCTCCAACATTGGCACCACCACCACCGCCATCCTGGCTGCGCTGGCCAGCCCTGGGGACAAACTGGCTAGCTCCTTCCAGGTATGGAGTGGGGGCTGTGAGGAGACATGGAGAAGCCAATGTGCCCCCATGCCCAGCTTGATACAACTGCCGTCCCCACAGATTGCCCTCTGCCACTTCTTCTTCAACATCTCCGGCATCCTGCTTTGGTATCCGCTGCCCTTCACCCGCCTGCCCATCCGCATGGCCAAGGCGCTGGGCGAGCGCACGGCCAAGTACCGCTGGTTTGCCGTGCTGTACCTCATCATCTGCTTCCTCCTGCTGCCCTCCCTCATCTTCGGCATCTCCATGGCGGGTTGGCGGGTGCTGGTGGGGGTGGGCGCCCCTTTCCTTGGCCTCCTCTTCTTTGTGGGACTGGTGAACGTGCTGCAGGCGCGCAGCCCCGGCCGCCTGCCCAAGTGGCTGCAGAGCTGGGACTTCCTCCCGGCCTGGATGCACTCGCTGCAGCCGCTCGACAGCCTCATCACGCGTGCCACGCTCTGCTGCACCGACCGCTGCCGCAGCCCTGAAGGCTGGGATGAGCGTGAGGCCGCTGCCCGTGACAAGGCCAGGCTGGGGCTGGACAACCCTGTGCTCTCCTACCCTGAGGAGATGCCCAGCCCCGTGCTGCGGGTGGGCTCCCCACACCTGGCCCCGCACAGTGCCACCCGCCTTTAGCCATTTCCACTTCCCCTGGTGTCTAATAAAGGCTGAGCACCTGTGTCCCTGCTGCGCATCTTCAGCCCCTGTCCTGCAAATCCTGACTGCTGTGTGCATGCAGCACTGAGGCACTGCCCCGCAGCCCATGGTGCCCAGCACTGGGGCAGCACCAAGCACGATGCTTGGCACCACAGCGGCACAGCGATGCTGCAGCCAAACCCATACTGTGCTCTGCAGTTTGCCATTGCTCTGCTGGCAGTATCACTGCATCCCTTATCCCTGGAGAGCTGAGCCGCAGGGATGAGGTCGGTGCCACTCCACTCAGTGTCATGGCAGAGTGTAATTGCTGGGGCTCAGCAGAATACTGGCTTGGCACGGCATAGCACCACAGTGCCCAACACCACGGTGGAAGCTCACCTGCCCCAGTGACCCCGGCAGGAGCCCTTTAAGCATTGGCTACAACCACTTCTCCCACTGCCCACAGATGCTTGGGCTCCTGCCAGCGATAGCGGCCGTCCCTCCCTCCCTGCTTCCCGCCCTCCCTCCTCCCTGGGGCTGGGACGAGTGAGCGGGGCTGCTGCAGAGCCACGGTGCAGCCGCCGCGGGGACGGCACGAAGGCAGCAGCGAGGGAGGCACCGGGTTGGCCCCACTGATACCGGGTCAGCTCAGGAGGAGCCGCAGCGGTCGGGTGATGGAAGGCTCGAGCAGCAAGAAGCGGCGGTGAGCAGGGCGTGCGCGGGGGGCAGCCCCATGGGGATTCGGTCACCGGAGGGGCTGGTGCAGCATGGAGGCTGCCATCACCCTGCCCAATGCCTCCAGTAACAGCAGCCAGGCCGGCAGCCCCCCACACTCACCGGCGGCCACCGGGCTCATCCTGCTGGCCGTGCTGGCCGTGCTGCTGGCCACGCTGGTGGGCAACGCGCTGGTGGTGGCAGCCGTCTCCACCAGCCGGGCCCTGCGCGCCCCGCAGAACCTCTTCCTGGTGTCCCTGGCTTCAGCGGACATCTTGGTGGCCATCCTCATTCTGCCCTTCTCGTTGGCCAAAGAGGTGATGGGCTACTGGTACTTCGGCAGCTTGTGGTGCAGCCTCTACCTGGCGCTGGATGTGCTGCTGTGCACAGCCTCCATCGGGCACCTCTGTGCCATCAGCCTGGACCGCTACTGGGCTGTCACGCGGGCGGCACGGCTCAACCTGCGGCGCAGCCCTGGCCGCGTGAAGGGGATGATCGGGGCGGTGTGGGCCGCGGCCGCCCTGGTGGCCTTACCGCCCCTCTTCAAGGCCCGGCCGCGGGCACGGCAGTGCGAGCTGATCGACGAGACGTGGTACGTGCTGGCCTCCTGCGTCGCCTCCTTCTTCGCCCCGTGCCTCGTCATGGTCACCGTCTACTGCCGCATCTACCGCCTCACCATGCGTCGGAGTGCCGCCGTGCTCGCCGCCCGCCGTGGCTCGGCCCCGTGCCCTGGGGATGCCAACAGGAGGGCATCATGGGCTGCAGCACCGAGCCGGCGGCACCGGAGCCAGCACCAGAGCGTGTCGCTGTGCCGGCGGCGGTTACTGCGGGTGCGGGAGCGGCGCTTCACCATCGTGCTGGCCGTGGTGATGGGGGCCTTCGTGCTCTGCTGGTTCCCCTTCTTCTTCACCTACAGCCTGGAGGCCGTGTGCGGGGAGGGGTGCCGCGTCTCCAAGCCCCTCTTCAGCTTCTTCTTTTGGATCGGGTACTGCAACAGCAGCCTCAACCCCATCATCTACACTGTCTTCAACAGGGACTTCCGCGCTGCGTTCCGCAGACTCCTGGCTGCCCTGGTCCGGCACGGCTCCTAGGGACCCCCGGGGCAGCCACCCCACTGCGCTGTGACAGGGATGGGGGATGGAGGGCTGTGCTGCTGGGTCTGAACTCAAGGTACTTCCAGAAGCGCAGGGTTTTGCAGGGCAGTGAATAAAAAAAGGCAGAACTGCACACCCAGGGCTGGTGTCTGCATCCCAGGAGCACTCAGCTCTGCTCCTCTCCCAGGTCACCCCATCTACCCCCGGTGTCTCTTGCAGCCATGATTTCTCAATGGTGGCACCTGCATTGAGTACCAGCAATTTGTGCCACCTCACCCTGGCTGGATCTGCTGGAGACTGAGCAAATGTCAGTTCCTCTGCATGCACGTGAGTAACTTCTGGCACAAAGCACAGAGACAGACCCTGCAGCTGCTGCAGGACCAAAGCCCCAGATGGCAATATTGTGGCCACTGGGCTGAGCAGCCTGTGCTGTGCAGCACCACAGCACAGCCCAGTGCCTTTGCTGGGGCTCTCCCAGCTATGCCCCCCAGCATAATCTATGCCATGCTGCAGAAGTACCAGGGATGCCCCCATAGCCTGCTTGGGGCTTCAAGAGGAGAGGTTGTTCTCTCCTGAGAGAGTGTAGGAGATGTTTCCACACGGAAACACAGGGCACGAGGGGGCAGGGGGCAACTGTAGGGTGGAGACCGAGGGCAGCCACAGCCCCAGTGCTGGGCAGGGCAGGCCAGCCCCGCTGCTCCACACAGACACGCAGGGGTCAGAGGAGGCTCGGCTTCTCCAGCTTCACAGCTCAAAATAGAAAATCTCAAAACATTAAACTTTTGCTTGGCTAAAAACAGCCACCGGCGCCTGGGAGCCGGAGCCCAAGGAACGCCGGCCCAGGGCCAGCCCTGGGGTGCAGCGAGGGATGTACGGCCCCAGTCAGGGCATGGCATGGCCCCATTCCCCGTGGGGATGCTGTGGGACAGGCCCAGCACTGGCCCTGCCGCGGAAGGAGCTGCCCTATCGGCACCGCCTGCTTCCCTCCTGCAGCCAGCCTTCAGCCTTTGCACAATTAAACAGCACTTTGCATCTAAAAATACTCATGAACGTGATGGGGGCACAGCTGGTTCAGCTGGGGAGCGATGCTTCGTAACCCACTGTGACGCCCTGGATGGGTTGCTCTGTCTCCTTCTATTCAGGGTTCACAAAGTCAGCTTAATCCCCAGCAGCATCACCCTTATTGCTGCTCAGCTGCTGAGCAGCACTGCTGGAACGGTGATCCCCTGCGAGCACTGATTATCCCTGCCTCCATGTATTACTTGTGCTTGCCGGAGCTGAATTGCATCCTGTATTTTCAGGCTGTTTCTCACATTTGTCCAGATTAGTTTGAATGATTATTCTGTGCTGCAAGAAACGTGGGTTTGCAGAGCTCTCCTGCAGCCTCAGCTCCTCTGCAGAGCCCAAAGCAGAGCCCCATTTCTACCAGCAGCAGGACATCTGTGCCTGCCCTGATGCAAAACGCCATTGAGGAGGGAACAAAGCTGCTACCTATGGGGCCCACGTGCAAGCACACGCATACAGAGCTGTTGCGTTTGAGGCTCGGGGTAAGCATATGTCACCTTTAAAAGCAGAACAGCTCTGAAAAGGGGAAGCTCTCAGTGTGAGCTGATGTGGGGACCGACACCGGAGACAAAGCCAGTGATGCCACATCTGATCCCCAGCAGATGCTGAAGGATGCAGCAGACCACAGCCATTACAAATTGCACAGGCAACGAGCGCTCGCAATAATGCCTTATTATCGGGAGAGATAATGAGAACAGGAACCGGTTCTTTCCTGCTCGCCGGCAGGGCGGCCTGGGCCGGCCCCCAGAGCACAGGCTGCAGGAAGGCTGCAGGAAGGCTGCCGTGCAGCTCGCTGCTGGGGGGGCACAGAAACACGGAGCCCCACCAGCGCTCAGGGTGCCCCACAGTGACTCGTTGGCGAGCGGAGCGAGCAGGAGGCTACCGTAATGCAGCCTTCATTCAGTCAGAGCCCACAGCTGATGGAAGGGCAGCAGGAAAAGACATTTGAATGAACAGAAAGAATGAGCCACCAGAACCAAGAACAAACAAAACCATACCACCATCTGCCCTAAGCCCGCCCCCTCGGCACTATACTATAAGCAGTCTCTTGACCCCACCCCTAAGCTACGCTCCTATCACGGCCCAGTCTGCCGTGGAGTGGCAGCTCTACAACCCAATCAGAGGACGTAGTAGGCGGGACCCCAGCGTGGTGGGCGCAGTTACAGCCTGTCCAATCCTTGCCCGGCTCTGGCGTGCGCTTCTCTGACTGACACCTCCGCCTCCAATCATCGCCCGCTCCCGGCCCCGGATAGCGCTCCGCCAATGGCCGCCGTATGACGCGCTCTTCTCTCTCTCCGGCCCGCCCCCTCACACCTCCGCCCTCCTCGGGCAGGGGCGCAGCGGAGGGGGCGAGGCTTCCTGGGGGGGAGCCGAACCAATGGGAGCGCGGCGCGGGAGGAGCGTGGGCAGGCATTGGTGGGTTGGGCCGCGGGGGGCGGGGCGTAGCTGCGGCGGCGGCAGCGGGGGGGCGGCGGCGGCGGCGGCGGCGGCGCTCGAGCGGAGCGGAGCCGGGCGGGAGGTGGCGGCGCCGCCCGGGCCCATGGAGCTGGAGAACATCGTCGCCAATACCGTGCTGCTCAAGGCCCGAGAAGGTGAGCGGTTCCCGAGCAGCGGGAGGAGCCCGAGGTGGGGCGGCAGGCCCGGGGCTGGGAGGGCCGCGCTCCGTCCCGGGGCGGGGGGTCAAGGCCTGCCCGCAGCGCCGGGACGGCGCGGAGCCGCTGTGGGACGGCCGCGCTGCGCCTCTGAGAGAAGCTGCCCTGCAGCCGCGGCTGCTGCCCGCCTCCTGCCCGCAGCCCTCCTCCCGGGGGGCAACGAGGGGAAAAAAAGTTCATTTCGGGCCGGCACGTCGCGCTGCGACCGCTTCTACCCACGCAGGGCTGAGCCGTGTGCCCGCGGCCCTCCGTCGCTGCAGGGCGTGGAGCGGGGCGAAGCGCGTGTGGTGGTGCTGGAGGAGCGTGGAGCTGAGCCGATCCGGGACGCCTCGAGTGGCTGAGAGAGAACTGGGAGTCCATCGCACGGCTGTCTGGGTCTGGCTCCGCGGGGAAGTTCATTAGATCGCGTAGGGTGGTGGGGAAGCATGGCCCCTCTGTGGCTGTGGAAGGGCCGCGCTGTGCAGCTGGCCGGGCCGAGTAGTTTCTGAGCCCAAGGGGCCCACTGAAATCCAGTTAGAGGGCTTTGGAGATTAGATTTGTGGGAGCAGAGAGCACTGAAATTAAATTTCCCTGGGCAAAGACCTTTCTGAACTGCTTGGAAATCAGACTTCGTTCAGATACTTCAGGCGTGGAGGCTGTCGAGCAGCGAGTGGGAAATCCAACCGTTGCCATTGTGGTTTAGCTGAAGTCAAACCCAGACAAAACCAAAGAGCAGCACTTGCAACTACAGGACGTGAAACTCCTCTTGACACGGAGCAGCTGGGAGCACAGCTTCTGCAGTGCTGTGGTTGGAGCGTGGGGCTGTATGAGAGGTGTGGCACAGCCGCTGCCCTGCTTTGAGGTGCTCCTCTCTGCCTTGATGGAGAGCACTCAGTGTGATAAGGCCCATGCACAGGCCTGTGCTCAGTGTGTGCCATCAGGGTGTGGGCAGCAGCGGGCACAGCAGGATGGTGACTTCCCTTGGAAAGATCTTTCCCCTGTTGTTCCCTTTGTCTGCTGGCTTGTGGCAGATGGGATGTGACCAGTCTCAGAAATGTGACAAGCTCTGGGTCAGGCCTGCCTCCCTCTTGCCCCCTCCTCAAAAGGAGGGTTGCTGTGTACTGCTGGGACAGAGCTGCATGGGGTGCAGGTCCCCACTGAGCTGTTTGCTGCGTTGCCTGCAGAGGAATACAAGCTGCATCTTCTCATCTTCAGTGTGTCGTGGGACATAACTGCCTTCTCCTACATGCTCGTGGAGAGTGCCTACACTCCTGTGCCTCTCACCTACCGATTGTCCCTGTCCTTGTTTGTGGCTGGGAGTTGTGGCTGACAAGGTGTCGGCGCTGCTGGTTTCTTCCACCCCTGCTTACCCTTGAGTCACTTCCTTCCTGAGTTTGTACAATCATGCAGCCCAGCTGCCACGGGGGGCAGATGCAGCACAGCCACCCAGCGGTGCCAGGGCTCATGGCTGCAGCCATCCTGTCGCATCCCATCCCACCCCACTTACATGCCTGTAGTGTAGGTGCTGGAAACCCGGAGCGTGGGTACAGGGAACGTGTGAGGACCGAATCGCATCTGCGGTGGAGGAAAGCATTATGAAACTGTTTCTCAAGAGCTGATATATGGTGTTCTACACTGATTTCAGAGTGCTGTGCCTTTGGCCCGACTCAGCAGTGAGGTTTAACGCATTTCCAGAGTCAGGGGGGAGTTTTTGTGTTTGTTGGCACTGAGCAGGAGGAGCACAATCCCTAGAGGTTGGCTGATCTGAGCAATCAGGCATGCAAGTATTCCAGTACTTAGTGTTTGCTATGATGTAATTTTTTTGGTCTATCTAGGAGCTTTCCCACCCTTTCCTACAGCACTGGGCATTTACTCCAGCACCTGAAGATGGAATAATATCTAGTTGTTGGATCTTGCTTTTCTGAGGCTGGCTTATCTCTGTAGAACAGTGGGAGTGTCCCCACTTCACAGGTGGGAAAACTGAAGTGATGAGCCTGGGGCAATGCAGTGAGTTGTCTGTGGAGCTGGGATTAGAGCAGGAATTCCTGTCTCCCAGCTTCATGTCCTTTCTCTGAGAGCCCCTCCCTGCAGTAAGCAATCAGTCTGGAATGAGTAGGTGGCATGAATCTTAACTACAGCAAGAAACCCGGCAGTGAAGAGCTTCACACCAAGCACGGTTTGGCCTCAGAAGGGCCTGGGAGCCAAGGCACAGAGCAACCTGTGGCTATAGGCACTCCTCCCTCTGCCATGATTTTCCCATCTTAAATATGAATGACTGAAATGTCCAGAGGAAAGACCTTACTGTCATTGCTTTGTTCTGCCTTTTGAACAGCTGGAGCGGTCGGTCCTTCCATTTCCTCTGGCAGTCAGCTGAGGCTCCAGCATTCCTATCCTTCAGGCTGGGAGGCAGTGATACCTCTTGGTGCTGCCCGGGCTTCTGGTGCAATGAGATTCATCTGCAGTCGGACATCCCTCATTCATAACTCATCCTGCCAAATTTGTGTGCCCTGCAGGTGGTGGCGGAAACCGGAAAGGCAAGAGTAAGAAATGGCGCCAGATGCTGCAGTTCCCACACATCAGCCTCTGCGAGGACCTTCGGCAAGCCCTTGGTGAGCAGCAGGGCTCTGGCATTGGGCTGTGGGGCCGGTGTGTGGCTGTGACCTGTCAGATCACAGGTGATCTGAATGCAGGTGAGCCGTGGGAGGGTCAGAGACAGGTAATAGGGCACAAATCCTGGCCAGGGATTTGGCCAATGCAATTTAGAGTGCAGGGAAGGAACACTAGGCAAGTAAGTCACAGCTGCATGGCACTTGCTGTCAATGTACCCACAAGCCTTCTAGATGGTGAGAAGATTCAGTAGAGATATGTGTCCTTCTCTGCACAAACAAACCTGCCCATTGCTGTGAGCATTGCTCAGGAGTGCCTTTGCATAAATTACAAAGGTCTTGCTAACATCTTCCTGTTTCCTTGGCTGATGTTCAGCCCTACGCTGCAGATCTCAGCTTCTAAAATTAAAGCAGCAACTTTACTTGAGCAGAATTGGGTTCTTGCTGTGCAGTATGGATGAGAGTTGTATAGCTGAGTAGGCTTGGTTTGTGATTTTAATTCTGTACTTTGTACTCTTCATGATTTTAATGTTTGTGCAGCAGGTTTGGTCCTGACATCATATAAGTTTGTTTGAGGAGTTGACTTGGAAGGTGGGAGTGATCTGCTTTCTGGGAGGGGGAGAGCTTGTTTAAGTTGTCACTCCATATTCATCTGCCAGCTGGAGAGTGGCACAGTGTTGACTCTGTTTCAGAGCAGGTGTCGCCAGGCTGACTGGGTTTGGGATGTGTCTGTAACTCCAGTCTCCAGTTCTGCACTGCACAGGTGTTCCAGGTCCTGGTACAGGGTCCTGGAAGTCACTCAAACTGGTTCCATTTGAAGGCACACGGGACCATAGCACTTGAAATAACAACCTCCATCATCCAGATTATAACTTTCAAGCCCACAACACCCAGTTCGGCTGCTTCATGGTGGGCACCACTTCCCTGGCTCTTTCCACAGCCACTGCAGTCAGCTGGAAACTGCAGCCTCGATACTGGACATGCTGCCTCAGTATAGCAGGTCCTGAGCACTGAGGTGCTTCTGGCATGGGCTGTCCTCGCACGGCCACCCTTTTGTAGGTGTCATGATCTGTTTTCTAGCATTGATGTTCATTTTTGTTATGCTGCCCGTTTGCTGGTGATGAATGCTGATGGTTTGTCCATCTCCATTGTCCCACTGTCCCGTGATGCTGTGGAGGTGCCTCCCAGCCTGTGCTGTCACCACTGATGCTCAGTTCCCCTTGCAGAGCCATGAGGGCTTACAGATGGTGGCTGCCTTGTTTGGTTTCCCTTCAGGAGAGACATCCACAGTCCCTGTGCTCTGGTGGTTTTGTTGTCCCCTGGCAGCCAGATAGAGGTGTGTTCACTTTCTGTTGCAGAGGCTGGGCAGGGTCGCCAGTGTGTTGGTGCTGCTGCAGAATTGGGATTGTGTTCCGTGACTACAGAGAGCAACCTAATGTGTCCCTAGGCAGCAGCAAGGTGACCAAAAACCCCCAGTCTCGCTGGCAGCAAGCTCCCATCCTCTACAGCAGCGGGGAACTCCTTCCCCTGCAAATGAGTAAACCAGCTGGGGCAGCCAGGATGGTGAAGCAGCCCCCACAGCAGCAGCGTGGCCCCTCCATGCTTGTGCACCGCCAGGAAGCCACAGCTTCCTCAGGAGAAGCTGCTGCATGGTGAGGGGAAGCCATGAGCACTAAGACCCAAGGGCAGGGTGAAGCATGGAACTGGAAGTGCTTTGGATAGTCAGAGGTGTGTGTGTCTGGTTCAGAAGA